CCTTCCTCTTCTGTCGAAAGGAATGAAGAAACCCCCTACCCACCACCCCAACACACACACACACACACACACACACACACACACACACACACCTGTAGTGCACAGGATGGGGTCTGAGCGGGTGCAGTAGTCAGAGGCCACAGGCGAGCACACACAGCCCCTGTCGGGGAGCTTCCTGTCTCTCGGGCAAGAAAACATCATTCACGTGCCCATCACCAAAACGTGGTTGACACTGCTTCACTTAGTCCTGTGAGGTCCAGCCCCCACCCCACCCCTCTTCACTGATGAAGAAGTAGAAGCTCCTGAAGGGGGTGAGGTGAGCGGGCTGAGGTCACAGAACCTGTCCCCTAACCCAGGACTCGGGACTCTGACCACTGCTCTTTCCACCCCCACCCCCACCCCCCACAGGGTCTCAGACATGAACAGAATGGGGTCAGCATCACCCGGGAGCATCTCAGATGGGGGACCAGGGCCGAGCCCAGGGATCAAGGGCTTTCTGCAGCCTCCTGTCCTGGGAAGGGATCTGAGGAAGCAGGTGTCAGCCGCCATCCCTTTGGGAGAGCAGGCTTCTGCAGGAGTAAGGGCCAGTGTCCAGGGCTAGCCCTGCTGGCCAACTACAGCCACCCTCAGATGGAAGTCAGGTCCCCCTCTCAGAGAACCCTGAGCATGCACATCCCAGCCCCCAGAGGTGCTTCCTGCAATGCTGAGCAGCCTCTGAGCCAGTGTCAAAGCCAGAACAAACGCCCCACCTCTTCCAGCCCAGTGGAGGCCCAGCACAGTACCCGCCCCACACTGGACCATGGGCCATTGTGCCCAGCGGTGGCCTGTGGATGGACCCAGGTCGGCTGGCTTCAGCAGCCTCAGAGACCCGCGAGATGAGCCCTGCCTGCTCTAACCACTCACAGGGCCACCAGGGGAGGGCGGAAGTGGGGAGGGGCACAGGTTTGGGGTAGCTGAGGGTGGCGAGGCAGCCCCTTCTGGCAGCTGGCTGATAAGGTGGGCCCAGGGCTGGTGAGATGCCCTCTGTGGGGGGCGGGAATGTTCAGTCGCCAAAGCAGGGCTAGACGGGCTGCATGGGGTGGAGGCCAGCGGGGAGCAGGAATTTATTTATGCATCTTCTCCCTCCCAATAATAAATAAAGCTGCAGAATGCGGGAGTCCTCCCCAGGAGCGGCTGGCCAGCCCCCAGCCAGGTGCGTGGAGCAGGGGCTCTTCAGCTGCAGGACCCGCTGGGCTGCCAGCTATCAGCCCTCTCATCGCCTCTCCCAGCTGGAGGAGAATTTAATCCAGTCAGTGGCTCCTCTCCGCACATGCTGGGCTCCTTTTGAAGTTCCTCTTTATCTCCCTTCCCAACAAAATCGCCCCTCAACAGCTCCAGGAGGGCCCCTACCTCCCCTGTGGCTCCCCTCCCAACCCCACCATGGCAGCCGGGCAATCCCCCTCCCCCCCCCACCACAGTGGGCAAGGGCACAGGGAACACAGGGCCCACTGGGACCTCGCCCTGGATGCCTGCCCCGTGCAGACTTGCACCGCACCAGCAGTGTCTGGAGTGGCAGAGACCAGGACCCGCAGGCAGGGCTCCGGAGTCATCGCAGACCAGGCCTGAAGTCTTGTTAGGGGCCCTGTGGCTTGAACACACGGTCCTCTCTGGCCTCAGCCTCCTGCTCTGTGAACGGGGTGGATGGACATGGGGGTCCCTGTTGGGAAGATCCAGGTTAAAGTGTGTCGCCAAGCGGTGACTTGCCTTTGAGGTGGAAGAGTGAAAGCTCCCAGCCAGCTGAGTGCCGCGGTGAATGGGGTTTGTGCCAACGTGGGCGACTGGGTGACCGTCTCATGTGCACAGTGGTCTCAAGAGAGGGGCCAGCAGTCTCAAGCAAGGTCTCAGTGGGCATTGGCACCGTGGGGCAGCTTCTGGAAGGAGAAGGAGCCCTTGAGAGGACTTGCCCGCGAGGCAGTCCTGGATCTCCGTGCCTAAGAGGGGAAAAAGGGGAAGCAGACCTCTTGCACTGAACTCTGGCGACCTCTCCAGAGGGGCCGGGCACACTGCAGGCCTGCCCGTACCACCCCACCCTGTCCCGAGTCAGCACTGAGCCCAGCCCATGTTCACGCAGCCTCCTCTCCAGCAGACACCCCCCCACCACCACCAGCATCTCGGTACGGCTCTTTCCTGGCATCACTCCAACTTTAGGGTTTGTCAGAATCACCAGAGGGCAGGTGAGAACCCAGGTTGCTGGGCCCTGTCCCTGGAGTGGCTGATTCAGTAGATCTGAGAACTGGCCCAAGAACCTGCATTTCGATGAGTTCCCAGCTGATGCTGATGCCAGCAGGCCCAGGGAATTCCCCACTTGGGAAATGCTGGTGAGCCTGGTGGAGCTCATCCTGGGAGAAACATCAGAATGAACTGCTGGAGAGGGTGGCACACCCCGACACCTGGGCCTCTCCTGCAGAGAGCCCGCTCTGCCTGGTGAAGGGTCAGCCTAGGCGTAGGGCTATCTCAGACCTCCCTGGATGCTGTGGGGGTGGTCGGGTTCTGCTCGTGCCCTCCTAGACCGCTGGGGATGCCGCAGACCTGCTCTGCCTTCCCAGCAGATGTCTTCTCACCCCTAGCTGTACGAGCTGGTCTCTGGGGAGAGCAGAGCCCCACCCGCAAGAGATTCTTTCTGACTCGGGGATTGTGAGCAGCTCAGGAAAAGGCACGGGGGCCACACCTGCCCTCGGGCTACACAGGGAAGCATGAGGGTGCAACTCCACCCCAGCCCAAGACTGACAGCCACAAGACAGACGTCAGACACACCATCCACCACCCTCCCTCCTTCCTCCATCCTAGTCTGACACCAACTGGCCCTCCCACAGCCCTCCGCTTCTCTGCCCAGTCCAACCGTCTGTTACAGGGGCCACACCGAACCCAGACAATGCTCAAGACAACGGGGTGCATTATGAAAATGAACAGGCTCGCTTCTGCAAGTCAGGATCGAAACCATGAAGGAGGCAGTCTTTGGTCCACCGCAGTGCCCCTGCCTAGTCTGCAGCCGCCTCCCTCGGACCCTCAGCCATATTAGCCCCTTGGTCGCCGCACAGGTTGGAAAACCCACCGTGCTGCCTCACGGTCTCAGTGGTGCACCTCTGCCCCGCCTCACAATCCCAGTAATGCGGCCTATGCTGCTTCCACCGCTTCAGGCAGAGACCTTGCACACACACACACACACACACACACACACACACACC